AGATCGGTGGGGCAGCTCCTTAAGCACGAAGGTGGCAGGCGGAAGGGAAAAGCTGGAGCCTGAGGCAGTGCCGTATGGCGTCCTTGCCCTCAGACAAGGCTCTGTGTAAAAACTTCCTCTCGGTCAACAGCCTGGTTAAAAACCAAACCAAAACAAAGCAGCTTGCTGTTGTGGGATGGTTTAGGCAGAAGATGCATGGCAAAAGTGATTTGGGGGCATGGCTGCGCTGTCCCAGCTCATGCTGCAGGCCTGCTTTTGGTTCCAGCGAGCCTGGAAATGGGACAGAGGGGCGAGGCTCAGGAAGAGGCCTTTTCCGTTTCAGAAGGAGAGAGTGGGCTGCTGGCAACTGTTCAAGAGGAGTGTTGGGGTGCTGGCAGGAGAGTAGAAGGGCAGCAGAAGCTGAGGGGACCTTGCCAGAAGCAGGGAGTGTAAAATCGTGACAGTTGCAAGAGGCGGTGTAAAGAAACTGTCCCGTTGCTTTGCCCGTTGCATAAGCAAATACTATTAAGTTGGCAGTTTGACGATGTTGAAATGGAATTAAACCTTCAGGTATTAAACAGGATTAACACGAGGAAGATTTTGTGGTCTGCTGTGTCCTGCTGCTATACACCAACTTCATTAGGAGGGCAGTGATGGGGGCGAGGACATGAAAAAGCAGCCTTGGAGTCATTAACAAAAATAACAAAACCTCAGTAGTGCTTATTCAGTCAATGCTGCCGATTTGGGGAGGGGAAGAGGAACCTTGCTACCTTGTTAATTTGCTGTAGAACACATTAACCCAATATTGTATTTCTCATTATTCTTAGTCTCACTTAGCTGTTGTTAAGCCATTTTCTGTTGTCAGTCCTCTTAATAAAATCTGTGACTTGAATAAATTTCCCCAGCAACTTTGTATTGGCACCACATCTGTAGTATCGGCTAAAGATTGTCCTTTATCTGTTCCTTACAAAATGTACCCTGATTGAAGTTTCCTATTGTAGTGCTTCCCCTGGAATTTAGTATAGAGTAAGACAGCTTAGTATTAACATTTAGTTTGTATTGATGGGCAATCAGTTGTTTTTCTGATAATGCTAGAGAAAACAGAAGACAGCGGCACCAGCAAATGCAAATGAAATATGATCATCTTATCTTATAATTACTTGTGTAAACAGGCACTGAAAAAATTAATACTGCAACAAATACTTCCTTGAAAAGTCAATCTCCATTTTGCTAAAGAAAAAAAAAGCCCCAAACCCTTACAAATGTCCTAAACTCATGCTGCAGAAACTGAGGAGCCAGCGTCCTCAGTGGAGGAACGTGCCTGGTGCTGGCTGGATGGGCACGAGCCAAAGTTTCACCTCACAACAAAAGTGTTGAGTTTTGTGTGACACACAAAAAGAACGTAGTACCGAGTCGTTGCACGTACACAG